GTCCTTGTATGGTACATTCATAATGTGGAAGTCACACAGGAGGCTTAGGTTCGGATCTCCTGTCAGCCTGAACATGCCGGGTGTTCCTGCATACTGACTGGTTAGGAGGCTGGAGGAGGACTTGTGGTATGGTGGGATGCTTTTGAGGGCACATCTTTTCTCTCTTTCAAAAAACAAAGAGAAACAAACAAAACCCTAAACTTAAAGAAAAGTAATGTTTTGTTACAGAAAATTTAGCAAGGACCGAAAATGAAAGTTAACAAGACAAAAATGAGACAACCTATAATCATACCAGCCTGAAATAGTCATCGTCAGCATTTTCTCTTGGCTCAGTACTGTTTTCATTTTTATGCTAAGTATTGGTATGTTCTGAAACATGTTACTGTGGCTTGTGTTGTCCTTCCCTGCCTCTCTTTGGTCATCTCTGTCAACCTTAGGACCTGGGACCCACTATTCAGTCACTCCCATATCTTTCTCCTACCCTTTATTGTTCTTCAGCATCACATCTGCATTCCTTCCTGTCTGCAAATACTCCCATATGCACCCATGCCCAAGCCCCTCACACGCAGATGTTCCACACAGTTCATGTCCTTCTAAATGCCAAGTTAGCCACCTCCTTGGTCCACTCATCTGCCACCTTTCAATCATCCAGTCACATCAGCTCCCCTGACTCTCTTTCTCCGGAAATCACAACTTCTTATGGTCCCTGCTCACCTTGATCTGCTAACTACTGACTCTTGCCTCTGGGTCCCCTTCAGCAGAGCTTCCTCTTGAGCTGTTTATGTTGGAAGCATGGGTTCTGAGGCCCGAAGGCTCTGGTTCCGATCTTGCCTTTGTTCCTTGCTCACTTGAGATGTTGGCCAAGTTATGTAATGATTGCGTGCTCAGCTTCCTCCACTCTAAAATGGAATTAACAAGTGTACCCACTCCAGAGCCATTGAGATGATTAAAATATACAGAACATCAGAATAGGTGCTCACACCTGGTAAGTGCTATGACTTAGATATTATTATACTCATGGTCAACTTTCACTCGTATGTCCTACTCGTAGTTTAAATCCAGGCTTTTCTCTGACCTCTCAGTTGATCTTTCCTTCTGAATTCCCAGTCGCCCCTCTCTGTACCTTTTCAAGGGGAGTTAGCAATGTTTACCTCACTGTAGCAATTTCTATGCCAGCATTTATTATAGAACTAGACTTATCATCTAATTATTTTATTATAATTATTCATTTACATTTCTAACTTGCCCTTCAAGTTAGACACACCCCAAGAACAGAATCTTTGATGATTTGGTGACCCACTTATTCCGTGTAACGGTTTGCATGTGGTAGAGTTTTTTTGGGTAGCAGTTTTAATGAGATACAGTAAATACACAAAATGATTCAGCCATTTATAGAGTATGGGCCCATAGTTTTCAGTATGTTCACAGGGTTGTGCATCCATCACCACAATTTTATCGCATTTTTATCATGCCAAAAAGAAACACCATACTCTTTGCCTATCACCATTGATCCGTCCCATCCCTTCCAGCCCAGTCAACCATCATTCTTCTTGTTGTGTCTGTGGATTTACCTGTTCTGGAAATTTCACCTAAATGGAATCGTATACTCTGGGACCTTTCTTTTTTTACTAGTTTCTTTCACTTAGAGTCATGTTTTCAGGGTTCATCCTTGTAGCTTATAGCAGTACTTTATTCCTTTTTATGGCTAACTACTATCCAATTGTATGAGTATCAGACATTTTGCTCATTCAGTTACCTGTTGATAAACATTGGGCTGTTTCCACTTTTTGACCTTTATGGCTAATGCTACTCTGAATATTTGTGTACAAGATTTTGTGTGGAGGGACCAGCAGTTAGTGTAATGGCTATGTTGCTGGACTCCTATGTAGTCAACCGCGGTTCAAGTCCCAGACCCTGTGGCTTAAACTCACACCAGGCGCATGTGCGTGCATGCCCAAGATCCCAAGAGGAGAAGAGAGGAGAAGGGATTGCGGAGTGGCCATCCCCCCGAGGGGTGATTTCTCACTTTCTATCTCTCTGTCTCTCTCTGTCTTTCTGGCAAGTGCACACATCCTATAGTGAAAACCTCTCCAAAAAAAGAAAAAAAGAAAAAGATTTTGTGGGACATTCATTAATCTTGGGTATATGCCTAGGAGGGGAATGGCTGAGTCTATGGAACCGTTTAACTTTCTGAGGAACTCCAAACCGTTTTCCAAAGTGAGTGCACCATTTTATATTCCACTGCAGTGTGTGCCCTCTCTTCACATTCTGAATGTAGTAGATTTTCAATAG